AACAAACCAAAGCTTCCTTTTATTTTATCTTATTTAAAGATTCCGTTTTCAGCTGTGAAAAGACTCAATTCCTTTGCATGAAACCTTCATTTAGAAATGACATGCTTGCCTCATAGGCCTCTTTCATTTTGCTTTCATATTCCATTTTCCCCTTCAGTCGCCAAGCCCGGTTCCATTAGCATCTGAAACTGACAAACTGTGGTGGATGTCCAAAGACACCTCTCCATTAAACGTCTTTCTCTCTCCTACACAGGACCCCAAGAACGGGGTGACTTTGTTGGAAAGAAAACTTCAGCAATGATAATGTCACTTTTTATTTTGCTACTTTTATAGTCACACATTTTTATAAGCAAAGGCAAAGAGAACAGAAATAGATTTTATCTTTTTTTTTGCCCTTCCTGAAGAGTTGTGTTAAAGAGGAACAGAATTTATTAGCATTGTTTCATTCTTAGAGATTCTACAATGGGAAACTTGTGGCTTGAAATGGCAGAGCAGACCCAGATTCCCGAAGTGGCCTTGGAAAGAACAGAAAATCAGGCACCTTCCTTACAAAGAGAAGAGGCAATCCGGCCTTTGGTGCCATTTGACAGCATCTACCCCATTCACCATAGCGGCTGTTAATAAAGGGGCAGGTCTAAATGGCAACCAGGTCCCTAATGGTCTTGCTTCCCATCCCTTTGTTAGCTGCAGTGGGTACATCTTTGGTTGAATTGTAAGTCCCTCTACATAAAGCAGTGCTTCAGTTCTGCATGTGAAAGCGCTGGCACGTGGAATATCCTCCAGGGACCCTGATCTACAGCTAGAGGATAGTGAAACTGGGAAACGCTCCTTCCGTTAGTTGAACTAACACTCGGGAAGTTAATTTTAGAAACAACCACTTATTTTGCCAGAAGAGATGATGAAGAATGTTGGCATGGGAGAGATGGAATCAGAAGTTCTCAATCAGGAAAAGATTCAAGTTTAATTAACTACAACCCAAGCTCTTACCAAGATGGCCTCCTGGTTCTTTAGATGTATTCCCTTTCCTCTCTGTTGAGCATGGACATGGGAGGCAAGTTTTGGGCTAAAGATAACTTTAAAGACTACCTGAACTCCTTACACTGAAAACCCCTCCCCATTTCAATCTTCAGGGGCAGATAGGATGGGCTTACTTTACTTGTTCTATTCCTTTGGCATCAGGCAGAAATGGGCCCAACATTGCCCCCTGCCAAGCATGCTCACTCCATATGCTGCAGGAGAACTTTAGGTCAAAGACTGGGTTTTCTATTTCTTTAAACATCCCAGGTTGTCTACAAAATGCCTGGCCCACAGAGAAGAAACGGAGTGGAATAGCTAAGAGCATGTGCTTTGGAGTCAGATGTCTTAGGTTTAACTTCTGGCTCATCTACTTATAAGCCACATAACCATGAGCATAGCACAGACTCTCCAAACCTCTGTTTCTTTGTCTGTAAGCTGGAATTACCCACTATACAGGGCAGTTGTGAGAATAAAATGAAATAGTATATTTAAAACGTTTAGTACAATGCCTGGTATGAAGAAAAAGACTTTAAAATGTTGACTACCAACGTTAATATTTTACTCAGTACACAATAAATATTCTGGCTAGGAATAGCATCCACTGCCTCCCCCTTCCCTATGGATAAAGACCTGAGGTAGCTTTTGGTAGAGTTTTTTAAAAGAATTTTCACATAGAGAAAAATCCTGGAAAATTAATGGGAAGGCAATAGCAGTGTGGATATATTTTGGTAGAAATAATCAGGTCAATCCAGTGATAAAAATACAGCCTAAAATATTTAAGGATGGAGTATTTTGGATATTGGATGGCTAGGATTTTCTTTAGGTATGTTGAAAAACTGGTGTCCCGTCTTCATGAAAGAAAGGTTCTTAATGCCTTATAGCAACTGCAGACTGTCTGGAGTCTTCTGTTTTCTAGACCTAATTTCCCACTTCCTTTAATTATTTAAGGACATAATCTTTCTTCTGTTGTTTCTCGGGCTTTTGAAACGGTTTTCACTGCTCTCTATGTTCTTTTCCAGAATTTGTGTTCTCAACCATCACCACTGTTGGGTTCAGCTGAACAAAATCTGGAGTCCCTGATTTTCTTTTTTATGATTGGTTATTCAATGGCAGGCAGCACTTGGCCTGTGTCAGGGAAGTTATTGGAAGGTTAAGTGACCTGTAGTTAAATTTGACAAGGGCATTTCAGTTTGGATGGCTTCCCATGAAAGAATTTAACACAAACACTTGACCTATTCCTAAGAAGTTCAAGGAGGAGAGGCTCGGGAATAACAAGATCACTAAGGTTTCATTTTTTAAAGTAATTGTTTTGGGTCCCTGCTGCATGCATGCATACAGACGTAGCATCCAAGGAGCACCTGTGGTTACAAGCAAAGAGAGGCTGTGACTCAGATAAGATCTACCAGAGGGCACGGCTAGAAAAGGGTTCCAGGGTAATGTAGTTGTGAGCGCATTTGAAGATGAGAAAGACCCAATGTCATGGTCTTTGTGGAACTCAAAGCAAAGGCAAGGGGCTTCCCTGGTGGCGCAGTGGTTGAGAGTCCACCTGCCGATGCAGGGGACACAGGTCCGTGTCCCGGTCCGGGAAGATCCCACATGCCGCAGAGCGGCTGGGCCCGTGAGCCATGGCCGCTGAGCCTGCACGTCCAGAGCCTGTGCTCCGCAACGGGAGAGGCCACAGCAGTGAGAGGCCCGTGTACCGCAAAAAAAAAAAAAAAAAAAAAAAAAAAAAAAAGCAAAGGCAAGAATGTTCTGGATCTAGATTGACTAAGGTAATTTTGAGAATGAAGAAGTCAGGCTTAAGTAGAACCTTAAGCAAAAAATAGTAAAATCCAACATTTACTGAGTGCTCAGCATGTACTAAATAAAATCTGTGCATGTTTTAACTCTAGTTCATACAGCCATCCTATGTAGATACTGCTATGTTACAGATGAGGAAATTGAAGCACAGCAGAGCTAAGCAACTTGACCCAGCACATACATTTAGGAATGAGCAGATCTAGATCTCAGTCCAGGTAAATTGGCTCCAGAGCCTCCTCTGGGTCACCATGGCATATTCCTTCTTATCACGTGCCAAAGCTGCGCTAAGGGTTTTTTCACGGGCCACCTCATTTATTCCTCATAACAATCCTGTAAGTACAGGAACTGCTAATATTACCATTTTGCAGATGAAGAAAATAAGATTCAGAGCCGTCAAATAACTTCCTCCAACACCCCAGTTGGTAAGTGGCAGATCTGGGGGCTCCAGCCAGACAGTCTGACTTCAGAACCCAAGGATTACTGTGCTCCATGCTGCCTTGCCTCTGTGTGTGATGGTCTCTCTTTCTCATGTGCTGAGCTTGGCAGGCAAGTTTGAGGCCTGAGCCAGTCTCACTCTTTTATTGTTTTCACTTTTAAACAATAGCAGATAACAGCTGGGACCCACTGTAGTTATGCTTAACTTGCTTTGGTATGGTAGCATGCACAACTCAGTACATATGATAAACGCTTTATTACAGTATTTTTCCTTGGGGGACGACACAAAGTACTTTCTAAATCTTCCCTAGTTAAATCCCCAGGCTTTTCCAGGGAGAGAGGGAGATGGAAATTCTTATAAATTTCTTATAAATCACCTCCCCTAAAATAGATGGAGAAATGAAGGTAAGTGCCTCCCCACACCCATAGATTTAACATAAAGGAATTGGTTCAAATGGTGGGGCAAATTATCTTTTATTGTGTGCATATAAATGATGGTTAGAAATCCATATGCTACGTTAAACGAGAGAAATAAATTAGGCAGAGTCATCTAGGTTTGCTGAGACAGGTATTCAATATGAAGTTGTAAAAGGGAAAGATCACCGTTAAAAATGATCTATAAAGGCATGTTAAAATCAAGAGACACATCTCATATTACATCATCTAGGAGATGAATTAAATTTCCTGTTAACGCCAGGAAAAAAAAAAACCCAAAGCCAAATGTCAGATGAAGTGAAGATCAATAAAAATATTTTGATAAGTAAATGCAACAATGCTACTTAACACATGATTGGCAACTGCTGAAACATAAATTATCCAAATTTTCCATTGCTGCTTATGGGAAAATTATGCAGATTAGAACTTGATTAGGCTTATATCATGAGACTCAATTTAGACTTTTAATCTATTAAGCTCCAATAAATGAGGCATCTGAATAGCTCCCCTGAGCAAGTACAGTAATAGCCACAGCATCGTTTTTTGCAGTATGTATTCCAACAAATTCTTCAGCAGCTGAAGTAGAGAAAATTCCAGGTACAGAAGTATGATTGCTTTCTAACTTGTAGGGGGAAAAATCCACGTGCCCAGGCTTGATTTGGGAAACAGATTTTTTAGAAAAGTCTGCAAGAGAAATCCGGCCAAGGGAAAACCTCAGTTGAACCTTGTAATAGTTATTCATAGTAGTTTTCAGTGGCTTTCCACAAAGCTGGAGTCCTGAGTCACGAGAGCCAGGAGCCGACCAGTGTTGGCTCAATAAAAAATGATTATTTATCAAGGCAGAAACTTCTCCTGACACTCCCCAAAAGCTACTCTAACTGAGCACTTTCCACTTAGGAGAGCTGGAAGTGGTGCCAGCCCCCGACAGGTTGCTGGAGGTCAATGCTGGGAAAGGTGGGGCAGGGAACACCCTTGCCAATTTCAACTGTGTTACCTGCTTTATTCCAGGTAACTCATGAACTTGGAGCTGATCACTGTTCTCTACCCAGAGCCTAAAGACAGAGCTTAGAAATTACATTAACAGACAGTTCTGAGAAACCTAAACTATACCATTTGGGTCTCTTTTTGCCTCTTTACCAATCACTCTGTTAGGGATGCAAGAACTTTGGAAATCTTCTAATAATTACCTCCCTTTTACAGATGAAGAAACTGAGGCTCAGAGCAGCGAAGTTACTGTGTCTAAGGTTGCGGATCAGTTGGTGGCAGAGCCAGGATAGCTGATTCTGTTGTTACGTGCTCCCCTTCAACCTCTTCTGTACATGAGGAACCCATTCCCAGTGTTTGGTGGCGGGTAGGGGAGGGGGGCAACCCTGACTCCACAGGGCCAACAATATGGATCCCCATCATCCTGGACACATGGCTGGTTTAGAGATCCACTTGTCCTCCAAGCTGGGGCCAATCTGTGTTCTCCCCAAGACCTGATGAAATCGATGCTAAAGATGCTTTCAAAACCACAAGGATGTAAGTACGGGGCTGCTGGTGAGCATTTAGCTCACCAGGGGACAAATGAAAACAGGGCAAATGAATCAAGAAGTAAAGAGAATGAGACAGAGCTCTGACATCACTCAGGCTCCTGGGCTCAAATGTGCCTAATGCCAGAGACACCCCAGTTGTATGACTTCCCCTTTATTTAAGGCTTTGGGGTTGGATTTCTATCACTTGCAACCAAAATGCCCAAATAGTATAGTAACTGAGAAAAATCTCTGTTCTTTTCTTGGTAAAATGGCTCATGCATGTCTGAGTTTCTATTGAAACAAGTGACTATATCTTCATTCAAGGTTTCTTGTTCACTCCCAGTGACCAGGGACAAGACCTGGGTCAATTTCTTTACTTACAATAAGTAACACTGATATTTTTAACAGTACTCTTTTCTAGAGACTGTATTTAATGAAAGCATTGGGAAGCTGCACAAGGTACTTCATCTTTTTTAGAGTTTCTGTTCTGGGTCTAAATTAAACCAAAGCAAACTAAACCAACCAACTAACAACCAATCAATCAACCTAAGTTCTCTATAGCTATTTGCCCATTAAGTTTCATAAGATATAGTCAGCACTTAGACAAGTCACACACACACGAAACAAATACAAGTCTCACACACATGAAACAGATATGTTTGCAAGAGTTGTCTCTCCAAGCAGACAGTCTCTTTCCTTAAAGTAAACTTAAAGAGCTTACTGTCCCTAAGTAAGAACCTGTCTCTCAGAGGGGTTGGTGTAAGGAAGGAAGGGGGGAGGGAGGGAGAGAGGGAGGGAAAGAGGGAGGGAATAAGGAAGGGAGGGGGGAAGGGGAGGAGACTAGTTACAACTCAAACACAGTTAAGGCCACAGATTTGGAAAGAAACCTAATATTCACCTGGTCTAACCTCTTCATTTGTGCAAAAGCTCATGGTGTCAGGATGAATTTTCCACAACTTCTCAATTGCCTTTTACCCCCTCTGAATTCATCTTACAACTTAAAAATAAGACGTAATTTGGCGACACAGATCAAATGATTTAAAATTTGACATACCCTTTCACCTAAGCAATTTCACTTCTAAAAATACATGCATAGCCAACATTTCTTTATATTAAAGATTTGGTTACAATGGTCTCCATTTGTAGTTATTAGGTAACGGTATTAAAATGAAAACAACCTGAATGTCCAGCTTTAGGAAACTGATTATGTTAAGTATGCAGCCACTAAAAATAATGCAGAAAAACATTTCATGATATAGAAAAAATGGTCATGATACAATTTTGTGGAAAAAACAGGTACACACTATTATGTATGATCCATTTTTGAGGGGTAAAATATTTATATCTGCAGAAACAAGACTAACGTTAACTTTCTTAAGTCCGAATGCTAAGATTATAAGGAATTCATATTTGTCTTCTTTTTATTTATACATAGTTGCCAAATTTTCTAAAAGAAATATATTTCATTTGTGCAAGGAGAAGAAAATTTACCAAAATTATAAATGAATAAGAGAAAAGAGCCTGAAACCTCACAACTTCACGTCATCTTCAGGGGTTGAGAACAGCTGATTGACACGGTAGAGGGACACGTGCTGATGAGCTGTAACAACCCTAAAGGTCATTTTGACCACATGAATTTGGGGAAACTGATGCTCTGGGATAGAAGTGACCAAAAGTTACAGATTAAGGGGCTTTAGAAGAACAGAGCAAAACAGAGTTTTCAGGGTTCCCAGTTCTCTACCATTTCAACTTCCTACAATGTTGTAAGAGCCACTCAATCTCAGAGCAAAGGATGCTGAGAGCTTACATGGGTCCAAAGAGCCCATGGAAACCCAGAATGCTCTGTGTATACAGCTGAGGGGAGGAGCAGTCAGAGCTGGTTTCCAGCACAGAAGGGTGGCATTTGCTGATTCCCATCCCTACTCTCACCAAGTCTTACCCACTTCAGATATGCTGTCCCCTCCCTTCTCCCCCAACTCAGTTCCTGCCCCGCCTTCACCACCTCCAGGAAGCCTGCCTTGACTAACTTTTCTCCCCCCCCATGCAGTTACTTCACAAAGACATCTTTGCTGCACTTTTCCCTTCCCCTTTATTCACTATTTTAAACTGTAAGAATTACTACTGATTATGTACCAATTACTACCTAATGTTTAAATGTTTCTAAAGCATCTTTAATGTTCTCTTTTCTTTTCTTCATACCTGTTGGATTCTTCATTTCAATACGGCATGAACTACATCAGCCTTTCTTTTTACTACTATTACCACTTCTTAATTCCTGTCCTGGACCCTCCCTCTTTGCTGCCACCAGAGAGTACAAAGGCTGTTTTGCCACTAATATAGAAACTTCTTCATGCTGGATCACATTTCCAGTAAACTAGAGGCATCCTGTGCCAGGGAAAAGGTAGAAGTACACATGGCAAGACAGCAATACGAAGTGGATACTAATAAAACACACAGAAACCCTAATGCTGCCAAGACTATATACCATTTTGTTTCCATTACATCAATTTTTTCTCCCCCTTTTGTGAGCATTAATCAAAGAAATGCAAAGAGCTCATTAAAGTGATAGATAGACTGAAAATGTAACCACCTTTACATTATAAACAGTTTCTTTATGTTCTCAGCGTTATGGGCTTTGTTTTTCAGCATTTGTCATGTACTTCAAATGTCCTTTTACATTTAAAACACCAAATGCCAAATGGGCCCCAGTTGTTTGGTTTAGTACAAACCAACGGCCAGCATAGCAAAAACCAGAGCTAGGAAATCACAGGCAAACTAAAACACCCATATCTTAAGTGCACAGAAAATTAAGTAGCTGTAAAAGATGGATTTGCCAAGCGGTCCAAGGCATTGCCCTGCAATTCAGGAAGAGCAGAAGCCCATCACTGACAACTCTCAGCCAGCCGTCTCTGACAGGTTCTAGAGACAGGACGCCTGGACAGAGATAGTGGCTGATGTTCCAAACATTTGATGGTCTTTTAAAAGAAAGCACTGTAAATGTTTTCTTTGAAGTTTGAAAGGCTTTCCTGCATATATGATGCTGGCAGATGAACATGTAACTGGAATCTTGGATTTTGAGAGTCAGGCATTCCCCACACACATAGAACTTCACTAAAGAAGAGGCCGATCGGTGCTAGTTTGATTTTGAACATCTCTGTTTACACCATGATCAATATCCTCTGACCACATCCTGAAATGAGCCATAACGTCGTGATTAAGAACAGGAATTCTGCAGCTAGACTGCCTGACTTGAGTGCTGCCTCCTTCGGTTCCCAGTTTTATGATCTGGGGCGATGTACTTAAATTCTGTGTCTTAGTCTCCTCACCTATAAAATGGAAGAGTGATATGTCATGAAGATTAAATGAGTTAAATAATACAGATAAACTGCTTATAACAGTGCCTGGCACAAAGTAAGCCCTTTATAAGTACTAACTTATTTTTGATGATGTCAATGATAGACTGGTAATGCTGACAGAAAAACAGAGAATCAAAAGACACGGGTTTTAGCTCCAGGTCATCCCCTGACTCCCTGCGACAATTTAGATTCAATGTCTTACCCAAACTTGGTTTGCCCATCTGTAAAACCGAGGCACATAAGGCAATGTCCCAAGGACTTCCGGCTCTCAAAAATGTGTCATCCTAATTCTGGGGCACTGTATATAATACTGGAATCATGGTAACTCTGGGTTTGATCACTCAATATTCAGGAATGCCCGCAGTCATTCCTGGGGTCATCTTTTTAAGAAGTGAAAGGCAGGAGCCCTCCCTTCCAGTATCACAGCACATAGTTCACATGAAAAAACATACCAGTGTAGGCATACAAGAGACACGCACTAAATGCACCCCACCATGACAAGCATGCAGCGTGCACATTACAACTCTGAGCGTGAGACAATACCCTGTCTCAGGAGTAGTCCATAAGCTATAATCCTCCCTCCAGGAGCCCTCCATCCAATCCACTCGCTAACAGACAATCCAGTTTCATCTCCTGCCATGTGATCACCATCATGGCAACTGCTCTTGTCCTCAGTTTCTTCACCTGTAAAATGGGGATGACTCTAAAGTTCCTTTCAGCTCGAAAGTTTATGTCTCTTTCACAACCCTAAATTTTAATAATAAACTCATACAGAATAAGCTAGCAAGGAGAATCAAGAGGGCCTCTTTTCAGAGGCCCTCACAAGCTGTAGTGCAGATCCTGCCTTTCAATTCTGTTTTATACCTTTGCCTGGAGAATGAAATTTCAGCGCCCAAACCAATGAGAAGGATGTACTTTCTCCAAAGTTGCTATAATGGCCAAAAAGGCCATAAATAACCATTTATTAAACAAACAGTATGGGCAGAAGGAAGAGAAACTGCCACAATTAGACCCCTGGGGCCTGCAGGCACGGTACATAACAGTGGGACTCGCTTATAATCTTGGCAATATGTTATCAGTTGTTCCATTTTCTTGAAGTTATCTTCATAATCAAGACGCTATCCCAGCCATGGTGGGCTTTAGAACTATTTTTAATTTTAATTTAAAGAGCAATTAAAGAAAGACAATGGATATGCGGGATAATAAAGTAAGTGATTAGCAGCCTGCAAGTGACAGAGGCTTAACGATAATGTGGTTCTAGTCTCCAAAGGGCCTGTGAGAGAAAGCCCTTTCCACATGTGGTTGTTCAGCTAATGTGTCTCAACCCACAATTACAACGTTGCTGACACCATTAACCAGTGAAACAACATCATTTCGGGAAATCCTTGTTGTCTCATTAAAATGGAAAGGGTCAGGTAATTTACTAGCGTTGTATGTCTAGTTTTGTTTTTGGTAATTAGCAAACATTACCCAGCATGGACTCCCGCTGGGAGCTGGAGAAACTTTGTGAAATATTAAAGAGGAAAGTCTTTATATTTCACTGGAAAACTGAAAAGAGGGGCAGTAATAGTCTCCCTGTCATTTATTTGCACTTAGGAAAAGGAAGGAGCAAGTTGGGACTCCTTAACTTAGGGAGAAATGTTCAGAATGCATTGGGAGGGCACTAACCAAACCAATAATACCCTGAATTGGGCTGTATACTGGCCAGCAGGGTCTGTGTCCCTGTTTCTGAAAGGGGGTGGGGAGGAAGGGAAAATTGCAAACTACATCTTTATTGTTCTTACTTAAGTTCTCTGAGTTAATCTCCTTGAAATAGAGGAAAGGGGCTATAAAAAGTTTTCTCTCTGGAACGCTTTAATGATTTAAATAAGCGCCAGAATTGTTTATTCAGAAAGTTATTTATATATAGCTTTAAATGTAGAGATGGAGGAAACATATCCCAGGGCCCTGACTTCCTGCCTCCTTGCTTCCTAATGAAAGCCTCTACAGATATTGGAACTGAGACTCCCACCCGAAACGCCAGCCAACACTTGGTGTGTTGTCAGGAAGCAGAATGGTATCTTATTCCTTAAATGGAACTTTTGGAACATAAAACACATTCCAATAAATGTGAACATAAAATTATGAATTCATTAAACTACTTTGGTATCTTGAGCTATATATAATATTTATATTCTGACTACCGTAAAATATGCTTTAATATCTTTAGGCAACTATAAGGACTTAAATATTTATAAAATGGCTAAAGATAAAGTATGGCCCTCTTATTCCTACATACAGATGATGTAAGGCGTGCAATCAAAGACAATAACACTCTCTGCCCATTCATCATCTTAAAGGAGCCGATCAACACGCCATCCCTCGTGTGCCATCTACATAAGAGTTGTTGCCGACACAGGCAACTCCAGAGGAGTTTGAGCCTTAAAAACTACCTAGAGTGCTATACTTCACAGAAAACAGGGCTTTCTGAAAATGGAGACAAAACGATAAATTTGCAGGCAAAACAGCTCTAAGAGGCGCTTCAAAGTACTGCTGTATTTATCTCTGGGACATTTGGGAATGGTAAGCATTTTGATTTAATATTTCATAACATAGAGACAACTGCTTCCTTGCATGGTATATAATTAATGTTCATAAAAAGGAGGGTTTAAAAAAATTCTTCAGTATCCTAAATATAAATAAATAAATAAATAAGTAAGTAAGAGACGCACCTGGGCTTCCTTTAGAAATGTGGAACAGCCTCATATAACCCAGTAAAAAGAAAGCCACTGTGAATTTATAATCACCTGAGGACCTACTAAAAGTAGGTTTATAGATTAAGTGTGAAACTTCAACCCTGACATTCTCATTATTTACTGTCCTTCCTTGTCATTAGAACCAGGGTTTGACTGATTTTCAAAATTTTTCCATTTCCTATGCCAATTAGGCCTTCTGAGACCTACCTGCCCCCACCTCTCTTGATCTCTCCCATGCACACTCCCCTGGTTTATTTCCTCTGCTCTTTCTGGATCGAGACGGTGTAAGGCTGGGGAACACGGAGACGTTCTTGAGTCAAAGGTCATTTCTCATACATACAGCATTTTCATAATGTCCATTATATACCATCCAAAATTCCTAGAAATCACCCTTTGGAGGCTGCCAGTCTATGGAGATTTAAGCTTAGTGAGTCCACAGCCCTGATATGAGGCTCACAGATGTTACCTTTGGTAAAGAAGAGCCTAGGCCTGTGCTTCTCAACTTCGATTGCACATTGGAATCCCTGATGCCTGCACCCTATGCCCAGAGTCCGATTTATTTGCTCTGGGATGCGGCCTGGGCATGGCAGGGTTTAAAAGTTCCCCAGTTGATTATAATGCGCAACTAAGGTGGAAAGCCACTGGTCTAGGTAAACTTCTTGAATGTGTATGCAAATATTTCTGCATACACCTATGGGGAGGTAGGGGAGGGACAGAGAGAAGATGCATCATTTTACTAGGTATTTAAAAGGATCCAAAACCCCTTTCCCAATGAAGAACAAATAATTCCCAGGGCCTCAGGCTGAGGGCCAAAATTACTTTTTTTTTTTTTTTTTTGCGGTACGCGGGCCTCTCATTGTTGTGGCCTCTCCCGTTGCAGAGCACAGGCTCCGGATGCGCAGGCTCAGCTCTGCGGCATGTGGGATCTTCCCAGACTGGGGCACGAACCCATGTCCCCTGCATCGGCAGGCGGACTCTCAACCACTGCGCCACCAGGGAAGCCCCAAAATTACTTTTTTTGAGGGAAAAAGAGGTAAAGGAGGGAGGCCAGGTGCCACCTACCATCTAGTTGGAGCAGCATGAGCCCCACTCAGACAGTAGCAACTCTGGATTGATGTCATTTCACCCAAATGTCAGGACTCCTGCCATAACCGACTGCCACAGAGCAGATGTGCGTGAGGTCTTCTGTCACTGAGCCAAGGCCTCGCCTTTCTGCTTCCTAAAAAGCTCCACTGAGTGGTACCACACTGGCCTGTCTACAGAGGGAAAATCCCAGTGGTCACTGTCAATCTGCCCCCATCCTTCCTCAACACTCTGTAGGCTTTTGTAAGTCTCCCTCACATGGATTGCTCACCTCCCAAAGGTGTCTTGGTTTCCACCAGCATCTACTTCCCATGCATACCTAATGGCAAGCAGAATCAACAGGAATTCTGGCTACTGGGTACAAATGGCTAACCCTAACTTGTTAACTGTTATTTTGGGGGATCAAATGAAAGAAAATGGTAAAACTATCCAATATTAATAACAAAAAAGCTAATGTTGCTTGATCTCTAACTACACCCTAGGTAATAAGTGCTTTACACCCATCCACTCAGGGCTGCCATGTATGGTTACGAAGGTCAGACACTGAACAACAGTTCATCAAAGTGGGCATCACTCATACCACGGAATGATATATTTGCATATTTATTATGATGTTTTTTCCTAGCAGATGGTAGAAAAGCATACTGTTCAAACATAATCAGTATATTATGAGAATTTTTAAACACATGGAAGTAAAGTATCTCAAAGAAAGGAGTGACTTTTTCTGACTCATGTAAAGGTACCATACAGACTAGAGAAAGCCCTATATCTCACTTATATCTCACAGAAATTTGATGAGTCAGGTACAATTAGTATTCTCAGTGAGAAAACGGAGGCACAGACAGGTTAAATAATTTGCCCAGGCCTAGTAGGTAGCAGAGCTGCATTCAAACCCAAGTTTTCAGTTCAGGAGCCCTCACACACCATGATTAACCTGACTGCAAAATGCGATTTCCAAAGCCCTCCATGTTTTATAAAACCAATCTGTAGTCATCATCTCCTTGGATTCACACACAATCCCTCAGGGTATTTAGGTGGGGCTACTCTAACAAACCCCATTTCAGGGATGAAGAAATGAAATCAGAGTGTTTATCCAAAGTCAAATACCACACGACTAAGGTTAAGTAGGATTTAACACTTTGTCCCTTGACCCTACACGACGGTGTCATCCCTCTGACAGCCCCACTTGTGATTCACCATCAGAGAAACAAAACCCATCTGATTAATTGCCCCCGCCCAGGTGACAGAGCACAATTCGCCAGCCCATGGCTGAGAGGAGTGAGCGTCCATCTCCACGTGGCCAGGGAAGTGCTGAGGAACCAGTCCAAGCCCCCTAGAGCAGAAAGTAGAGATGTTTTCTGTACATTATTGAACTGTGAAGGTCTCAATGCTGTAGCCTCCTCAGGCCTTGGGCTGGTACTGTGCAATATACCTGTGATGAGGCCAGTAAAATATTGAGGCTTGGGAGCTATTAGCAAAGGTTAAGGGAATGGGATGATTTGCACTACAGAACTCTTGGGCAAGTCTGACCATGCCTCCTCCTGACAACTTCAGTGCCTTCGATCTTTGGGACCCTTGCGCAGTACCCAGCTATCAAATGAATGGAGAGTGACTGAAGGCTGGAAGGAAAGGATGTGGTATTTAATAAAGGAATCGAACTGCTTTATCTCATTTGAGGGCAAACTAAGACAGAGCACACTGCAAACAAGAGATGTGGGGATTAAATCATTTATTTGCTCACTCCACTCACCTCTACTAAGCATCTACTAGGTGTGAGGTGCTATGCTAAGCATTAAGTATATTTCTGACAGTTGGTGGGAGCGGGAAGGTCAGTAAGATGACAGAAAAGGCCATTCTTTGAGGGTCTATCCAAGTTAACAGTGACCTCACCTACAATCATTTCCTTTGACACCCTGAGATCCTTAAGTCCCTCAGCAATGTCATTAGTAGACACATAGCCAAGTGCCTGTCATGAATAAACTTGGCCTTTCCTGCTTGTGTGGCCTTCCTCACTCTGCCCCAGCCCTTTCCATCTGCCTGTAGCCCCTTTACTTACAATAATCATACCTATTTTCAAACTCAACTCCACTTACTCTGGAGCTACCCCGACCTCTGGACCACTGCAGCTCAAAGCAAATTCTGCCTTCTTATAACACACTGTGTGGTGACATCCATGGGGCACTTAGAATATCCAGAAATTCTTGACAGGAGATATGTGATAAGACACTCCAGGATTACTATACTGCTTTTCCACAACTGGGGGACTAATTTCCTCCAGAATTCCATGAAGTATAACCACTCATACCCTTAAATATTCTATCAATCCAGAACTACAGTCATTTATAAATCAGTTGGCTTTTTTGCAGGGCCATTTTTTTAAAAAGGGAAATAAAGGTTTTAGGACTTCACATGAGTTTTCACTTATAAAAGGAAGGGTAAAGACAAAAATACACTGGATGGTTTGTAGGCTCATTTGCTGGCTTGAGGCATGCGTGCTATCTTCATAGCATATGGATCACATTCATGCCTCAGCAAATTACAAATGACTCACACCATGCATTTTGCAAGGTACTCTGGAATGTTCCAGATCCCATATCGTTAAATATGTGCATTCAACTTGTGCCATACAACTTATTCTACACATCTGTGTCACTTCTGCCTATAGATGTCCTTAGTGTCATGATGGCATGGACCGTGGAAACAGCAGGGACTAACTTCAGGCAACTTTCCTAAACTGACGCTCAGGAAAAGAACTGTTGGATCCTTATCTGGAATCTCACCAGGGGCCTCAGAGAGTCTGCGGGATGACAAGATTTCTTTCACCTTCCTCTGATTATACAACCACACTTTCCTCCCGCAGGACAATTTATCTGGACCGTTTTTCTGAGCATAACATACAGCCTGGACTCCTAGGCTTTGAGGGCTAGAGTAGTCTGTTCATTCTCTGTCTTCCATGGAAACTTCCACCTGGAAAGTGGGATGAGGAGATAAAACCTGGAAATATTTTATAAGTTTCTGCACAAAAGAAAGCAGTATCTGGGTCTCAATCTTTCCACCCTCTTTTTGGCAGCTCCAAAATCAAGTCTATGTTAACAGGGGGGGAAAAAAGCTCAAGCAATTATACTGTTCACAGAGGCAGCTAAGCAAAACTCTTCTCCCAACTCTGCTGTTGTTGGTATGGTTGTCGTAGCAATGCAGTCAGGGACCAAGAGGATCCTAGTGTCTCTGACTGCTGGGGTGGGGAGGGTAAGGGACCCACAAAACAGGGATGCCCAGAGACAAGAATATTCAAAACAAAGTCAGCCCTTGACTGTAAGAAGCAGTTTGGGAGTCTGGCATGCCTTGAGAGCTTTCCTTTCACTGAACGTTTGTCCCCAGGGATGCCTCCATGACCCTGAAAAGCAGATGTATAGATCCAGGCCCGTTTTCATCAGAATAACACTTGTTCTCTTTTATCTGGCAGACTGATGTAGTGAGAAAAGCACAAGGCTTTGGAATCAGACAGTTTGGGGATCTGAGCTAAGAGACTTTGGACAAGTTGCTGAATTTTTCTGAGCCTCAGTTTTCTCATCTGTAGAATGGAGATAAATCACCTCTGCCTGAGTAGCTTATCGGGGAGATTAAATGAAATATTGTCTATGAATGTGCCTGGTGCATGACTCACCTGAAGAAAAAGGGGGAATTATAATTTTTTTAAAGGAGCCTTAGCTAGGCACACGAGCTTCGAGTAGCAGAGCAGCTCATGAAAGCCTGATGCTGGGACAACGAGCTCAGTCCCACCCCAACTCCACCCCACATCTGTTTTCTGTCTCTGAAGCTCAGATGTCCTCTCACTGCAGTTGTCCCAACTGGGCACAGCAGAAGTGAATTCTGCTAAGCAGGCCATTGGAAGGAATAGGCGATACTGTCCGTTTTTACTTTCTCTTCCCCAATCCACTCCCCTGGTTAGACCTCCATTTACGGAGGGCCTAAAAACCTCCATGGGTTCAGAAAGTAACCCTCACTCCTCAGTCTCTTGTTACAGCTATTGTCGTGACGGTGGTTGCTTTTCCTTGTTTCCTTCACTGGGAATCTATTGCCAGACTAGTAGATGGCAGTCTTCAGAGCATCTCCCATGTGGTGAAATATGCTGTGTAGGAAAAAATCTCCCAAGTTGAAGTCATTTAGAAAACGGCTGCAATGGCTGCTTTGCTGAAATACAGCTACCCCACTGTGCTCAGATCCATCTCATGATGTCTGCAGAAGAAATGGAACAGGGCAGACCCCTTTCTGTACCTGAGACCCGCTCGGAGCCCTAAGCCAGATTTTCTTTATTGTTTAGTAAGCTCTTTTAATGAAATGTACTCCTCTTATTATAGAGGACTGAAAATAAGATCTAAATCACAAACCAATAAAAGAAAGTTATTGGGCTGGGTATCTAAAGTTACTACCTAGAGGCTACTCCAGTGTGGTATTTATAAAGCTCTAAACAGTTAAGTATAATTGTCTTTCTGGTTTTTGGGACGGAAGCCAACAGCCCTTTCAGTTACAACTGAAGAAAAATATTTAAGCGCTGAGCTTTGTTCCTTGGGTGGGTATAAAGAGGAATGGCTTCTCCCCCACCACCAGCTCAGAATTGAGAGAGAATATTGTGGTAATGAAATGTTATATGGGAACAGCTGAAAAGAGGCTTCTCTGATTTCAGGGAGGAACAATGTGTGTAGGATATGTGTATAGGTATGTTTGCAAGTGAGAGCAGCCCGGGTGTGCAGGGGGTGAGGCTTGGGGGAGGGGAGGCAGGGAGAAAACTGGGATGGGCAGGTGTTGAGGGGTGACATGGGAGTTGAAGACGGGGGTGGTCTGTCAAATTAATGGAAAAGCCAGATGTGCAGCTGCTCACCCCAATGCAGGCCACTCCCCATCTTAGACACAAAGACAGTACCATTCTGGAAAGTTTCCACTAAAAGACCCATTACGACCCCAATTTCGCCAAACAGCATAGCTCTCCCTCTGGAGTAAGAATGTAGACCTTCTAAAACACAGAGCTCTGTGTCATCAGAATCAAGAAAATACCAGAGACCCTCAGTTATAAAGGACCACGGAACTCCTCTCATCTACTTTCCCCACCATCACAAAGATCACGCCAGGAACTTCCATTTGGCAAACAGTCATGCGGTGATAGGACGCTCACTACATGTTTAGGCAGCCTTTCTTATGTGGGATTAAAATCTGGTTCTCCTTAATCATTAGCCATCGATCCTGGTTTTGTTCAATGGAGCAGAAGACGGCCCTTTTGGTCCCCCAGCCCCGTTCTCTTAACCGCTGGGCAAGTGACACGTAGTCCAAGCATTTCCCCATTCTGGTCGCCCCCTTGGCAGCACTGCCTGTTTCTCAATGTCTTCCTTCAAATCTTCATAGCTCTTGACACACCTCCTCTCGGGCTGGCCAGGATGAAACAATCACTGCTCCAAACAAATTACACCTGTATCAGCAAGGTTTATCCAGCTTGTCTTGAGTAATTATTTGAAACTTAATGTTCAGCAGACTTCATTCCATTCCATCCCATGGATTTTGTCCCAAAGTTCCAGTTTAGGAAAGGTCCTTTTGAATCCTGACTCCTGTGATCCAATATAATTTAGAGATCTTAATTCACATGATCTCCCCCATATATGAAACAGAAGTCGCATTTTCTTCCCTGAAACAGTAAGAGCTATCTCAGACTTCAGGATGTACCCTATGCCCCCAATTAATGCTGTCTCTCCAAGGACTGCAGCCATGCTTCCAAAGAAAAATGTCATTCCCTACTTCAGGCTCTTAACCTTTGTTGAAATTCAGACAAAGGAGAGCGTCCGCTTATATGTGGACATCACTTAGTGTAACTGTGCCTGAGGGTCAGAGAGGGCTGTAGGAACTAAGGTGTGTGTGTACGTGTGTCTCGTGCTTGTGTGCCTGTCGGCATGTTCATGTAAGTCCACTATAATTTCTTTAAACTTGTGGTTGTAAAGAGGCATAAAACATAGACAAATTAATTTAGAGGAGGCAAGAGAAAGCAGGCAGCAGACATTTGTCCCAAAGTTTGAGACACATGCTCCTCCCTCCCCAGGAGCATTGGGAACTCAGCTCAGCTGTGGCTCCGTGGCTTGTACCAATGGTTCCCTCTTGTCCTTTCTAAGATGGTCCTCAGACTTCTGCCGTTCAACTCTCTTTCCTTATCCTCTCCCCTGAGGCTCTTCTCGGCCCCTAGAGCATGGGCCATGGGGCGGATCTCTAACTGTGACCCTTTCCTGGATTCAGGACTTCATTTCCACCCGTCTGTTTTTCAGATTCACCCGGATTTTTCCACCAAGTCCATGCGGAAATGAATCACAACTGAAACCCAACACATCCAACACTACTTGGTCCTGCAGCCAGTCCCTCCTCTCTGCAGGCTTCTTCCCATGAGCAGCCGCTGTCCTCCATCACCAGGAAGGAAGCTCACATTCACACAGTCTGTTTTATGCCTACCCATCTTACGCTAGAGCCTCCCCTTCTTTTTCCAGTTCCAGGTTCCTGGTCTCCTCCTGGGTAACCACTGTTCCTACCCAGTTTCCCTGCAGCCTCTTCTTTCCCACTCCGAACAATGCTTCACTGGGCTGCCAGGTCAATCTTCCTAAAGTTCAGGTCCAATCCCATCACTCTCTTGCTTTGAAACCTTCCGTAGCCCCCAGTGCCTGCTGAATTACGTACAGCTTCCTAACTAAAAAAACAGTTTCTCAATGCCCAACCCACACTTCAGCCTCCTGTCCCCCTGCTGCCCAATATACACACTGTGTTCCTGCCCAGCTGTACCCACTGCTGTCCCTCAAACATGTCCCCATGTACCTCTGCCCCTTTTCCTCTGTTCTGCTCTCTGACTGCAGCCAGATCTATTTGTTTCCAACTGCTGAAATCCTCTGCTTTTTTCCCAGGGTGTCTCTCAAACCCACTCTCCTTCTCTTCCTGTCCCTAGTGTTAGCCTCCACAGATGGTAATTCTCCCATGGGAATCAACCAGCATTCTAAAGCAGAGTTATTTATTTTCCTAGGAGGTTGCAAAGACCGGGAATGTGCTTTATGACCCCTGACTCCACAGCAGTGTCTGCCGTGCACAGTCTGGGCACATGACAGGTGCTTAGTAAATGTTCCTGGAATTGGACTGACACTTTCAGGACAGGTAGCATGAATCAGATGAATGCAGATATAACAGGAAAAAGAACAAGAGAGGAACCCTAACACCAGCATCCACATTTGGCCCGGGCATTGATATACACCAGCTCCATCTTCTTGAAGAGACCCAGGCACTGGGAGGGGCACCCTGCTGGCTTTGAAGGTGGGCAACGTCGCTGTTTAATAGCTGTGTGGTGCTGGATCTCAGCCCTGCCACCTTTCAAAGGCTGTGGTCGAGAAGAAGGCCTGTCCACAGGGCAACTAATATCCTTTACTTATCACCTTGAGACATATGACAGAAACAAGATGACAAATGTAGCCAGTTGGGCAAAAGCCAGAGCCTGGTTTCCCACTGCCTTCCCCTACCCCTTTTCTCCACTTACGGATTTTCAGTATTGGGAAAGTTAATGATAATCCACAAAAATATGAAAGGAAGAAGGTAGACCAACAGGTTTAAATAACAGAATAGTTATAAAGAAGCAAGTGATTTAAAGGTTAGGATTCCCAGGAAGCCAGGAGACTCAGGTTAAAATGATTACTTAGCTTCTCAAAGCCTCGGTTTCTTCCTCTTTACAATCAAAATAGTAACCCTCTTGCTTCATACACTTCCTCTGGGGACCACCTTGGGCAGCGGTTCTCAACCCTGGCTGCACCTGGGAATCATCAGGGAACTTCGAAAACTCCTGATGCCTGGGTCGTACCCCCTACCAGCTAAGTCACAACTGCTAAGGGGCAACCCAGGCGTTGATATTTTTTTTAACATTTCTCAACTGCTTACAATGTGCAGCCAAGGGTGAAAACCGGTGATGTAAGAAATGCCCGTTGTCTTGGTTGACAAAATACCTACCACATAACAGCAGGAAACATTCATGAAGCATAAGCATTATTATTATGGCTGATGGTGGTGGTGCTGGTGGTGGTGCTGGTCATGGTAGTGGTGGTGGTGAGGGTGATGTTGGTGAACAGATGGGCTCTGCTTTGGGCTCAGAGTCCTTGTGGAGAAGAACTGTTTTAGCGTGAACAAGACCAGGATCTGTTCTGGCTCTGCAAGGAATATTTCATTCTCTGAGGTCATCACATCCTTTCTCTAATCAAACCTCCCACCCTTTGGCACTCTTCTACTCCACGTGCCCGTTCTTTGTCCTCGCAGAGATTTATTGCTTGCTTCGTTTTTGGCCTCTCTGCCTAGAAGCCCCAACTCTGGTTTAACTTCTCCACCTACTGTCTTAGACCCTGGGACACTCATTTTAATATTCTCTCAACAGCACCAGGGAATTCTTTGCCTCCTCCGAATCTCCATCCCAAGCTAAAGCCAATTTCTAGTTTCTGCGCTTTTTTTGCAAAGCACTGCAGAGAAAACTGCAGGG